TTAAGTAGTCCGCTTATTACTAAGTTCTACACTAGATGTCATACCTGCAACCCGACTAGGGGGTTACCTATTTAAACCAAAATAGAATTGTTTTAAAACTATAGTAATAAGAATAATCACTAAAATTTATAACGATAAGCAATTTATTCCATAATATGTTTATTTTTTTTTTACTTTTATTTCTAGTATAAATGGGTTGCGATTTTACATTAAAGAACAAGAAAATACAATAGTCTTATATAAAATAATAGATAAGTAAATAATTATATGCTTATTTTAATAACTAGTTCTATTGTATTAATGAAAAAAAATTCTATAGGCCTATTTTAAGCGAAAAAATAATATTAAATTAACGTAACCAGAAAGCAAGATCATTTTTTGATCTCCACGTTTTTTGCTGTGTATGGGCGTTTAGCCTTTTTTTACATTTTTCGATAGCTTTGACAACTGGTTTTAGGAGATTATCGAAGTTCTTAACAAAATGAGCATTATCTCTTTTTCTATTATACAGCGTTAAGGCGAAATCAAAAATTTTTTTATAGTGAGCTAATTTTATTTCTATTTCATCATTTGCGTTATTTCTTTCTATTAATTCTATATTTTGTAGATTACTGAAATTTGAGCTTAGTTCTTCGATAGAATCATCAACGATTGTAGATCTAAAATTTTTCCAAGGATTATTTTCTTGACAGATTGTTTGTGTCTTGCTAGTACCAAAGAAAATCAAAAAGTAGTTGTGACGATGTGTTGTTTCTAAAAAAGTAGGTAAAAAAAGCTTTCCATTCTTTTTTGTGATTAAATGTTTACAAAGAAGATAACAACTATGCAAATATGATGGACAGGAGTATATCTAGTTAGTTGTATCGATATAATATCTTTCATCCATGCCGAATTCAATATCAGTATTTGCTGCTTTATTCCAATCTTTCTTGAATGCTTGCCATCACAATGGAAAGCTACGGTTTGTACAATACTGAGTTAACTTGATATTAAAATCTTTTATCAGCTGCTCAGCAATGATTTGTGTAAGTCTATCAAGGTGTGGATGATTATAATTATACTTATAATTATATTTTAGCACTCACCAATGACTTTCAGTAATCATCGTGGTTCTAGCCAAAGGCATTGCTAATGAATATGTTGAATGAGCAAACAGTTTCTAGTCCATCCATAAGTAGTTCCACAATCTTGGAAGATCATTATCGTGACAAAACTGGTATATTTCTTGTGTGCAATAATGATAAATTTGTGCAGAGCTCCAGAAGGTATTTTTTGCTATTGGGATTAGTAGGTGCATCATCGCATATCATTTGATGATGTCTATAATTTCGCGAATCTTATCATCTGAGTACAAATTTCCAGTATTACTACTTGGAATCCATGACGGATCAATAAAATTGAATTGACTATGGGCTTCTACCACTTTATTTTTTAAATAACCAGACGTTTTTGATTTTTTATCTTTTAGACGTCGATTGATGGCATGTTCTAGATGCCAGTAGCAAAGTTGTAAGTTTGTGATCTCTGACCAAGCTTCCTCGATAGCTGATATTTCCCCTGCGTCTTTGTCTACTAAAGCGAATATTGGAAGTACTCACTCATTCCAAAGGCTTATGAAAAATTCACTCAAGACCTGTGTTCGAGTATTGATTTGATTTCTAGAATCATTATATGCTTTTGCTATACCGTTGCATATTAGAAGATATAGATATGCTATTGGCATTCCATACCCTTCACAGTTCGTATTTACAACAAAAAGTTCAAAATGCTCCTGATTCGTTTTGAACGTAGAATCTACAATAATTTCTTTGGAGTTTGTGGCACCAATACAATTAAATAGAGATGTTGTGAACCCAAGAGCCTTTACGAAGTCGTTCTCCAAGTAATAAAGAATTTTAAACCCGTCTTTATTTTCAAGATATTCTTTTGCTGACAAGAGCTGATTGTTTGGATTAAACATATATGTATGCTGCATAAAAAATGACGCCCAGTAATATACTTGCTCTTTGGTATGTACTTTCGTGTCAATAAGATTTTGATGATGAAGTCGCCTATACAATTCGGAATTTTGTATATTGTATCCAATATTATTTTGTATCCACAGTTTTGCTGCTACTGGAAATTCAGCCTTTCTATACTCCAAATGCTCATGTGCTAGTTGATGAGTTACTTGAACAATAATACGTCGTTGCTGAGGATCGATAGTTAGTTTGATTTTTCCAAAGCAGTCATATCGCTCAATGAGAGCACGAGCTTCACTTTTTCGTTTTACAGGCTGATTCTCAGGTCTTTCCCATTTCCTATCATTTCGTTGTGCACATTCAAGGTATGCCGTTACACAACCAGTAAATTTATTCTTTCTTGTATTAGGATACATTTTAGATACATTCCAGTAGTAGCCAGACCCATATTCTAACGGTATAACAACAACACCTATTAGTTGATGAAAGCTTTCTTTAAGAGTTCCGAAATCATGTGTATCTAAATCTAACAAGAATTCCGAAAAAATGCTTTCAAGAAGATTTGAATCGATTTCAATTTCGAAATTTGTTCCCACCGGCTCATTTGAGTTTTTTGCATCTTGAAATCGCTTTGAAATTAACTCTTCTACCTCATCTAAATTATATAGAAGCCCATTAATATTACTGAATTCGATATTATCTATATCTTGGTCACTTTGCGCATTATTATCACACAACAAATCTGACGACGAATCTTCAGAAGCATCACTATCTTGTTCAAGATCCATATATGAATCAGTTTGACTAGAATTTACAGCTGTAATTGAACCCGTGATTACAGCTGGATCAGTTTCAAGTTGTTTTCTTTTGCTGGAGATTACATCTACTTCTTTTCGCCTATTTTTGCGTTGCTCATAACATTTATTACAGGTTGAATGTTCGTATTGCGGATTGCTATTTCGTGGACGGCAAAAGTCCTCAATTTTAATTATGCCATAACAGCGACTGCATTCTTTTTTACCTTCATCTTGGCTTTCTCTATTCATTTTGGAGTTGTATTGTTATTTGATTTATATTAGAAAGAAAAAAAAGTACTTCGAGTATATGCTTATATTATATTTATTTTTTATTTAATAGATCCAGAGTTTATATGAAAAATCGAATTTTATTAAAGGTCGAGAGAAAGGGTTTAAATATATTTCGCGTGAATACTTGCACTAATCTTACATTTTATTTCGCGTTGTAATCAAACTTAATTAAAATAAAAGACAAAAAATCAAACGACACTGCGAGAATTCAATGGTTAGATGAAAAAAAAAAAAACTAATCAAACGACAACTTCGAGTCATATTTTGCGTTATAATCAATCTTAATTAAAAGACAAAAAAAAGCAAACGACACTGCGAGAATTCAATGGTTAGATGATGAAAAAAAAAAAAACTAATTGAACGACAACTTCGAGTCATATTTCACGTTGTAATCAAACTTAATTAAAATAAAAGACAAAAAAAGCAAACGACACTGCGAGAATTCAATGGTTAGATGATGAAAAAAAAAAAAAGACTAATTGAACGACAATTTCGAGTCATATTTCGCGTTGTAATCAAACTTAATTAAAATAAAAGACAAAAAAAGCAAACGACACTGCGAGAATTCAGTAATATTAATGGGCTTCTATATAATTTAGATGAGGTAGAAGAGTTAATTTCAAAGCGATTTCAAGATGC